AAGACATGGCGCAACTTCAGCTGACCGAGGACATGACCCTTGATAGGAAGGTATGCAGGTCGAGGATTAGGGTAGTAGAGTAGGTAGTCTAGGGTGTTCATAACAGTAGTATTGGCACGCAGTCTCGCTTTCTGTTGGTAGTTAGTTTTTATGACTAACTGTTGTTTTCTTTCATTGTTGATCACCTTACTATCTTGTTATTTTTATTCTGTTTTTTATGGCTTTTTGGTACTATCCTTTCTTGTCTATATTTTTATTAATGTGGTGCTTATGCTTTCCTGAGCCGAGGGTCTATTGGATACAACATCTCTATCCTCACAAGGTAGGGGTAAGGTCTGCGTACACACTATCTTCCCCAGACCCCACGGTATGGGATAATACTGGTATATTGTTGTTGTATATGTTGCTTCTTTCTCTTCGGGTATTATCATCTTCTCTTGTTGTTGCTACTACTTATTGTCTCTGCTTCTTTTCATCTTTACTTGTTTTGCAAAAACTATCAAGCAAACACAATTGAATCATAAATTGGAATAGATTTTGGCCAAAAACTTTTTCATTCATTTTTTCCTCTAAATGCCATTACTTGAGAAAGCATTGGGCCTCCAAATTTTAAAATTTTCAAAGCAAACCAACCTAAGAAATTGCCTCACATAAGCTCTCTAACGGCTTGGACATCAAGTATTAAGTAAATTCGTGCACCAAATTACGAAGCTTCAGTTATACAACACTTGCAGCATGCCGCTCTCTCCATTCTGTATTTTGGTTTTCTTTTTTCATTATCTCTGCCTTCTTTGTGTAACTTCTCACTCCTCTACTACTCTATTTAGAGTGGAAGATTTCCTCACTGATAGGTTGACTATCATATAAAAATAACACTTGGTTTTCTTATCTATTTATTAATATTTGTAGGTTAATTATTTTCTAAATAATATTGTGCTATCAGAAGAGAAAAGGAAAACACATAGGCCACCCAAGAAAGATTATCTAGGTATCAAGTGGCCGAAGGAAGGGAGAAAACACAGAATATTTTCATGTTATAGCCAAAAGGGTTGTTGCAAATAAACAGGTAAGATCGGTGGTTTGGATAGCGTGCGGCGACAAATAGCGACGAGGGCCCGCTTCACTGAGGCGAGAGGCGCGCAGCGAAGCGCTCACCTTTTTGATGTGAAGCGACAATTTATACAAAAATATAAAATATATATATATATATATATATATATATATATAACTAAAAACTCAATAACAATAATATATTAATAAATATATCAATTCAAAAAATAAAAGCTCAATAGATAGTCATAGTAGATTCATAAACTAAAGTCTAAAAGTCTAAAACAAGCAACATCTATTCTTCTTCAAGACTATAAGATTATAAGTCTAACTGAAAAAATAGAGCGAAAATAAACAGAGCCTAAAAAGAGACTCTACTGCCTCTGCCACTTGCTCGAAACAGAGCCAAAAAAAAAATAAGAGAAGAAGAAAGAGGAAGGGAAGAAAGAAAGAAAGAGCCTCTGCTCTACCTCTGCTTTGCTGGTCGAAAAACAGAGCACAAAAAAAGACAAGAAGAAGAAAAAGGAAGAAAGAAGAAAGAGCTTATCACTGAAGAAAGAAGAAGAAAAAGAAAAAAAAAGACAGCAATGGTTACTGTCACTGAAATAGAAGAAGAAGAAAGTAGAAAAAGAAGAAGAAGAAAAGAAAAGAAAGAAACATACCTGGGTTAGTTGGTTACTGTCGCTGATGGCTGAAGATGAATCCTAAGCCCTAATTTTTCTATTGCTGAGAGAAAGGTCGCTGAAGGAGAAGAAGTGAAAAACCCAAGCCCTAATGTTTTAAGTCACTGGTCTTTACGCCTTTTTCTTTCTTTTTTTTGAAATAGCGACGCCACATCTCGTCTCTCGCTACACAGGTAGAGGCGCTCGCCTTTTACAATCGCAACGCAACAGAGTCAAAATAGCGCAGGTTGCTCGCATCGCCTCATGCTATTAGTGCTGAGGCGAGCGCTATTTATAATACTGGGTAAGATATCGGTAGCGTTCGTGAGTGTATATTTCAATACTATCAGACACTATTACCTACTATGAGGATTGAGGATTGGGGGCCACAATTGAGGACGACAACATTCCAGAGAATTAGCAACACCGTAGGCTCTTAAACGCTCTTTTGAAGAGGAAGTTGGACAAGCTGTGAGGAGTTCTTCAGAGAACATTAGAGGAAACAAACACCAATTTTACCATTCTTTTTCTTTTTCCCCTTTTGAAGAACCAATTTAATCATAATAAGCTCAAAATAATTCATTCAAAACCAAATCCAGACACTCACAAAAAAGAAGAATTAAAACAGTACAAAAGTGTTTTCCAGTCCAAACGAGTGTTGTGTTCCATGTCTCCATTTCCTTTAAATTTCTTTTTCCTTTTTTGAAGAACCAATTTAATCATAATATGCTCAAAATAATTCATTCAAAACCAAATCCAGACACTCACAAAAAGAAGAATTAAAACAATACAAAGGGGATTTCCAGTCCAAACGAGTGCTATGTTCCATGTCTCCATTTCTTTTCTTAGTTAATAAGGAACTGGAGAAACTGTGTGGGACTCTTATTGGAGATGGAAAAAAAAGGGAGAAAATTCAACTTGGTTAGATGGAAGTCTCATGGTTCCAATCAAAGATGGGGGATTAGGCATCAGAAAACAAGCTATTTTTAATCAAGTTGTTTTGGAAAAATGGTTATCAAGATTTGCGCGCAAAGAAGATGCTCTATGGAGAAAAATATTACAACGAAATATCGTTGTAGTCAATATGGATAGTTTTCAAACGAGGTTAGAAACCATATGGGACGAGCTCATGAAAAGGAATTATGAAAGAGAGAATGAGTTTCTCAAGATTCATTGGGTTTTCGACAACAAATGTGAACCAAATACAATTTTTGTTTGATGTATGCAGTAACACCACCTCAAGGATGAATACCTTCTGATGAACATGTGGAGGCCATGTTTTCTACAACAATGGAGGCTTATTGGGCTCATGAAGGTGCCAATGGATTTGGAGAATTGGGCCACGAATTTAAAATGCTTACACTAACTAGCCTTAGTCCAATTGAGGCCCAAGAATTTCAAGAAATTGAAGAAGTCCAAGAATCCATTCAAGATTAGGATTTCTTTTCCTTAAAAGATTAGGATTTCTTAATTCTTGTTTTAGTAGGATTATATTTATAGTTCTAGTCAAACTAGAATTGTTAGTTGGTAGTCCATTTCTACTAGAATTCTTTTTTCTATTTCAGTTATGATATGTTTTCTTAGCCTTATTCTTATTCTAGTTTAATTAGGATTAGTTTTTCTTAACCTTATCAATTGTACTCATTGTAAGGCCTATTTAAAGGGCTTAATATGATGAAAATAAACATTGGTGATTAGTTTTTCTAAGCTCTTGCTTCAAAAACGTGATTTACTTTTTATTTCATTGTTCTTCCTTTACTCAACGCTTCTTGCAATCTTGCGGGATTGAAGAACGTGTGGATAGGTTTCTTTTTATCTTACATTCGTCTAACGTGAGTTTGAAGAACGCTTTCGCTAGTTTTGTGAAAAAATTTAGCGAGGTGCTTTTGTTTTTCTCTTCTTTGTGCTTGAGACGTGCAAAACCTTGAAAGTACATCAATTTGGTATTAGAGCCTAGGTTCCATATTCGAATTCTTGAATTGCTATCTTGTTCATCATGTTGCCAGACAAGAAAAGTGAAAGTTCAGGATCCTCTTCAATTGATGAACAAATTCAGATTGAAACATTAAGAACTACAGACTTTGAACGAGACAACGAAGAAATTAAAGTGCAGCTAGATGACTTAAAAAAATCAGTGCAGAATCTGACTCAATTGGTTGAAGGTTTGGCAATTCAAAATCAGCCACCAAATCTACCACAACGCCTGCAACCTCCCCCGCCACCAAGACAACACACCAATGCTACCGCGACGTCTTCCACTTCGAGATCCACCAATTAAAGTGCGTAGAGCAAGACATATTGAGCAAGCGGAAGAAGCTATAGCTAACCAAGGCATAAGAGTACCGAGGCGCCATGCTCACTATGATAAAAACTCATATTCAGAATACTCTGATAATCAAAGTAGTGAAGAGTATGACTCTGATAAAGTTCAGTATCAACATGATAGAAGGAGATTTTAGAGAAGGTCGCATAATAATAATCGTGAGAGGTATCAACGTGATGATATTAAGCTTGAATTTCGGAGTATGATGGCAAATCTCAAGGTGATGAATTCATTGATTGGCTTATAACTATTGAGCGTATTTTTGTTTATAAAGAATATTCTGATAAGAAGGTCAAACTTGTTGTTATAAAGCTTAGAGGTTACGCATCGCTATGGTGGGAAAACCTCAAAAGAGAGCGAGAGCTTAAAGGAAACACACGAATTCACACTTGGGAGAGAATGAAATGAGAATTGCATAAACAGTTCTTGCAAGAGACATATGAAGAAGATTCTTACTTGAAGTTTTATTCTTTTAGACAAGGGAGTTTATTCGTGGATGAGTACACAAGAGAATTTGAATATCTTAGGCTCAAGAGTGACATTAAAGAAAAAATAGCCCGCATAATTGCTCGATATTTGATTGGATTAAATAAGCCTATTGCGAATGTAACACGATTGCAGCCCCATTGGACCTTTGGAGATGTTGTCAAATTAGCCAAGGTCGTAGAGACACAACAGAAGGAAGCCAAAGCCATATTTTCATCAACTACCATAAAAAGACGAACACTTTCAACCATGGGAGTGCTAGTTCGAGCTCTACAAAGCCACAATCATGTACAACAAAACCAAGTGCCCAAAAAGTTGAAGGGAAGCCCATGACTTCAGAAGCTATTTTTAAAAAGAGATGCCATAAATGTGGAGGACTTGAGCATATACAAGTTGATTGTCCTAACAGAAAGGCATTCACCATCCTTGAAGGTGCAACTGATGAAGAAGATTATCATGAAGAGCAACATAATGACAACTTGGAAGAAGTAGCTGAATATGGAGATGATAGAGAATACCTTATGATCCAACGAGTTCTGCATTCAGATTCTAGCAAGGAAGAACCATGGTTGCGACACAATATTTTCCATACACGTTGTACATCTAAGGGAAAGGTTTGTACACTCATCATTGATCCGAAAAGTTGTACCAATGTAGTTTCTGAAGAAAAGGTTACCAAATTGGGGTTTGAGACAGAGCCATTGCAGAAGTCATACCGCATGAGGTGGCTGGATGAAGGAAGGAATGTACAAGTTAATAAACGATGCTTTATTCCTTTCTCTATTGGCAAGAATTATCAAGATCCTAAGAAAAATGGATCTTGGCGCATGTGTGTTGACAGTCATGCTATTAACAAGATCACCATCAAGTATAAATTTCTTATTCCTAGGCTTGATGATCTTTTTGCTTTTTGACCAATTACACAGGGCCAAGATATTTTCTAAAATTGATTTGAAGAGTAGCTATCACCAAATTTGAGTGACGGAGGGTGATGAATGGAAGACTGCATTCAAGACAAGGGATTGTATGAATGACTTGTTTGCCATTTGGGCTCTCTAACGCTCCTAGCACATTTATGAGACTCATGACCTAAATCTTTCAGCCATACATGGGAAAATTTATCGTCGTTTATTTTGATGATATATTTATTTATAGCAAGGATGACCAACAATATTTGAAGAACTTGAGAAAGATTTTTGAAGTTTTAAGAGAGCAAACCCTTTATGCCAACTTGAAGAAGTGCAAGTTTCTTTTCTCTGTTATATTGTCTCTAGTGAGGAAATTCATGTCGACTCGGGAAAGATTGAAGCTATTGCTAGCTGGCCCATCTAGAAAGCTTAACAAAGATTCGTAGCTTCATGGTATGGTTATTTTTATTGGCGTTTTATAAAGAATTTTAGCTCTCTTGTTGCTCTTATTACCGAGCATTTGAAGGGAAACTCATTTAAATGCACGGATGCTACCCAAAAGAGTTTTAAATTGATTAAGACAAAGATGACTCAAGCACCTATGCTTGCTTTGCTCAACTTTGATGTAATCTTTGAAGTTAAATGTGATGCTTCTGGAGTTGGGATTGGAGTTGTTCTTGGTCAAGAAAGTAGACTTATTGCTTTTTTTAGTGAGAAGTTGAATGATGCAAAAGTTCAAGTATTCTACATATGACAAGGAGTTCTACGCCATTATCTGAGCTCTTTCTCATTGAAGTCATTATCTTTTACCTCGAGAATTTGTGCTTTATTCTGATCATGTATATGAATAGTCAACAGAAGCTCCACATTAGGCATGCCAAGTGGGTAGAAATTTTGCAAGTCTTTCATTTGTTATTAAACACAAGGCTGGAAAGGTCAATCAAGTAGCTGATGCATAAGTCGCAAGCCTTGTTTTGCTTCTGCCATGCAAAACACTATTGCGGGTTTTGAACACCTAAAGGAATTATATGCAACAGATCTAGACTTTGGAGCTTTTTGGGGTCAATACTGGGAGGGTCCTCAATATATGTTTGTGCTTAGGGATGGCTATCTTTATCATGGTAAGCAGCTTTGTGTTCCACAAGGTAGTTTGCGTGAATTTATAATCCGTGAGTCCCACGAGGAAGGGTTAGCTAGCCACGTCGGGCAAACAAAGACTCTACGCCTAGTTCAAGAAAACTTCTATTGGACTAAGATGGTTCGGGATGTTAATAAACTGGTTGCAAGATGTGAAACTTGTATAAAGGCAAAAATGCACAAAAGCAATTCGGATCTTTATACTCCTCTGCCAATTCCTACTCAACCTTGGGAAGATATTAGCATAGACTTTGTGTTAGGCCTTCCAAGGACTCAAAGAGGTAAGGATTCCATCTTCGTGGTTGTCGATCGAATTCCTTGCGATAAGACTTCGGATGCAACAAATATTGTTGATCTCTTCTTTGATCATATTATGAAATTGCATGGAATTCCCATAACTATTGTTTCAGATAGGGATTCGAGGTTCCTAGGTCATTTTTGGAGGACTTTATGGGCTAAACTTGGTACTAAGCTAACACCTAACACTTCTCATCATCCCCAAACTGATGGGCAAACCGAAGCTATCAATGGAAGTTTAGGTGCTTTGCTTCGTGGGTTTAAAAGAAGAATCTCAAAGAGTGGAAATCATTGCTTCCTACTACTGAGTTTGCCTTCAACAAGTCAACCAACCGCACTATAGGAAAGAGTCCATTCGAAGTTGTCTATGGTAAGAATCCTCTTAGACCACTTGATCTTTCCCCTCTTTTAGTTACTCATTCTTTTAGTGGAGATGTTGATGATCGAGTGAAGCAACTCAAGAAACTACATGAGAAAGTTCGGGCACATATCGAGAAGCAGAATGCTAAATATAAAGAAAAGGCTGATACACGTAGGAAACATGTGGTGTTCAAGGAAGGCGGCTTGGTTTGGGTTCATTTGAGTAAGGAGAGATTTCCAAACTGCAATAGGCAAGTATGCATATTAAATGTTTGACAAAATTTCCAAAAGACCTAAAATATGAGAATTATTACTAATAATGGTTCAATTGAACTATGTTGATGTAGATTTAAGTTGTTAAGAGTAGTGGAACATCACAGGGATCCTAAGTAAAGCTCGAATAAGGTATGTTTGGCTAAACCTCTTCCATAGAATCAGATTCCATGAAACTCCTCATACACTCTAAATATGGTTTGTCCTAGTTCCTACTCCTTTGCTTGAACTGCTTCAAATACGATTGATTTATCAAATGTCTATGAACTCAACCCATGTTTCAATTTCAATTAATATGCTCCCTTTTAGAAATATTTCAATGTGTTTTATGCTCTTTATATACTCATGTATTTGAAACTATGATTTTCTTATTTTTCAATTATACTTGATGTCTAATGATAAGCCATGCCAAAAATGAATAAAGTGAGATTATGAAGATGAAATGTGGCTATTTTGCCAAAATGAGAATGATGAAGTATGTCCCAAGGGACAAATGAAAAGAAAAGGTTTTTATGAAATGCTTCGAATGAAATATTTTTGGGAGTATCGTTATGTAACCAGGAAGGTGTAGAATATAAATCCTATATCTGTAACTAATGATCTCCCAACCAAAAATGTTAAGGTTTATTTGAAGGTTTTACTTATCTTATGCTTTCTCTTTATATTTTAACTTGGCATTTTTAAATACTATTGATTTTCTGCCTACTCCATGTTTTCTCTCCTTATGTTGACATTCATTCCATGTGAGGGTACTTAGCTTCACATACTAGTACTATTCCATATATACTAACGTCTATTTTGTTGGGGACGTT